GCGGGGGAGGATCACCTCCTTGGACCTGCTCAAGATGCATCTGTGGATGCATGACAAGGTGCGGTTGGCCTTCCTGACCGCGTCCCCCCACTGTCGGTCCATGTTCATTTTGGCATCAATAATGACTCCCAGATCCTTTTCTGCCTCTGCGCTGACGAGAAGGAAGTTCCCCAGCCTGTAGGTCTGCTGCTGGTTCTTCCTCCCCAGGTGCAGCACCGTGCACTTGTCAGTGTTGAAACCCATCCTGTTCTCATCCACCCACCCCTGCAACCTGTCTAGGTCCAATTGCAGCCTATTCCTCCCTTCTAGCATGCCCATTTCTCCCCACATCTTAGTGTCACCTGCGAATTTGAACAAGGTGCTTTTCACCCCCTCGTCCAAGTCGCTGATGAAGATGTTGAACAGTGCAGGCCTGAGGACTGAGCCCTGGGGGACCCCACTGCCCACATCCCTCCAGGTTGAATAGGACCCGTCCACCACCGCTCTCTGGGTGCAGCCCTCCAGCCAGTTAGTGACCAAATTGACTGTGTAGGTGTCGACGCCACAGTCCCCTAGATTTTTAATAAGAATGGGGTGGGAGACAGTGTCGAAGGCCTTCCTGAAGTCGAGAAAGACAATGTCCACTGCTACCCCTGCGTCTAAGGGTTTTGTGACCTGGTCATAGAAGGCCACCAAGTTGGTCTGACAGGGCCTGCCTCGAATGAACCCGTGTTGGTTGCCCCTAGGCATAACCTCCCCTGCCAGCCCCTCGCGGACATGCGCCAGGATAACTCTCTCAAAAAGCTTACCCAGGACCGAGGTAAGACTAACTGGCCTATAGTTTCCTGGGTCCTCCTTCCTGGTTCCAAATGGGAACCACATTGGCCCTTTTCCAGTCCTCTGGCACCACACCAGAGCACCATGAGTGCTTGTAAAGCTGTGCCAGGGGTCCCGCAATGACCTCTGCTAATTCCTTCAGCACTCTGGGGTGGAGATCGTCAGGACCTGCTGATTTAATTACGTCCAGTCCCTCCAGAAGTTCCCTGACTAGATCCTCACTGACCCTAGGCCTGGGTGCGCCTCCCCTGGGGCCTACGGGGGCCCTGGTGAGGGTGGTGACCCAGTCCCTGCTCAGAAAAATGGAGGCAAAGAAATTGGACTCAGTGGAGTTCAGAGCTGGACTCTCAGAGTTTCTGGGGCAGCTGTCAGCACCCATCACCTCAGGCCCTGCTGGGAGAAGCACATGTGGGACATGTGTGTTTACACAGTATCTGAATGGTTTCATGCTCCACTGGGCTGAGTAGGGCGGGAGGACATAGAGCTGCAGCTCTCTCTTCTGAGAGGAGCAGGGTCCGTGCTTCCTGCCTGCTTCCAGGGCCAGGTCTGGTGCAGGGAATGAGTCCATGAAGCTTTCCCTCTGTCGACAAGTCCCAGGTGGGCTCCATGTCACAGGAGTCTGCACCACATCTAAGGGTTTGGCATGAACCCGAACCTGGACTCTCTGCTGAGTCTCAGCTTCATAACACTCAAGGCCTCAGAGAAGAAACGGGAAGGGGGCAATTCTGGTCATTCACTTCCACCGGCAACACAAAAGCTTCTGAATCCCACCCATTCCGTGGAGCCCTTTAATGCAGCCTGAGACCATGATGAAACACTTCCTCGGTTCCAGGTCAACCTGACCAGGGGAAGCCAGGGAAAGCATCAGCTTCTCTCTTGCCCCACACCGACAGCTACACATAGCCTCTGCATACCACACTGGTTTCCATGGGGGACTACAAATCCTATCATGCCCTGGGAGACCCTGTTACAGAGGTATGGCTACATTGGGCTGGGGAATGAACTCTTACGTTGCTGCGTGAAGATGGAAATATAAGAACACGGTATCCCAGGGAAACCAGATCTGGGCCAATAAATCAAGACAGGAAACCCGATTGTCCCCTGACATCTGTCATTAGAGGGAGAAGGGAACAGTTGCTTGTCTCCACATCCTTGGATTTCACCAACTGGGAACAACACATGTCTAGACACATTGCAGCATAACATACTGTATTCGATGTCAGCACCCTGCACAGGGCAGATCTGCACTTTCTAGGTCCCCCCGACACGCTTGGCAGGAGCATTACTTAGAGCAGAGTCGGGTGGACGGGACAGCCACAACTCACCTGACAGCGGGTCCTCAGACCCTGAGATTTCCCCACAGTCCTCATCATCAGAGACCCAGAGCCCCACTTGTCCTTGCTGGATGCTGCAGATTAAGTCAGGTATAGGGCCTTGATATCCTGTTTGGGACAGTGGTTAAACAGGGTTAGTGACTGGGTACTAGATGCAGAAGAACCAGCTGGGATTTGGGGAACAGATCCAAGGAACTCCAGGTTTCTATTAGGGCCTTGATGGACAAGAGAGCATAGGCATTTAGAATGAAAGAGAAGGCACTACAGGGAGAAGACTTCAAGAGACCATGATCCTTGTCACTCAGGTGGTGCGGGGATGGGCATAGGGAACCAAGCCCCAGCCACTCTCTGGTACAGACAGGGCATTAAACTGACAGTCATCAGGGATCGGTATGAAGATGCACTGATCTGTGACTTGAGAGGGCAGAAATATAAAGCTTTTACTGTTTGCACGGTACCATTAAGAAGACACGTTGGACACACTTGTGGATGGATAACATCTGTCTTATTGGTGTAATTCCAGGCAAAGGAGTGGTCATGAGCTAATTTTCAGTGCGGGTTTAAAGAGCAGGCCCGTGGCAATGAAAAGCATCAATGATAGGTGACTAAATATGAGACTTTTTTTTCTGGAAAAGAGGGTAATTCATCATCACCAGAGCACAGGAAAGGACGATTTTATTATAACTGTATTAGAAGTTGAAGCAGTCATCCCATCCAATCACAGGATCATCCCAGGAGGGGAATGAGTACACAGCCTGGCAAATATTGCAGGGTTCAAAATAGTTCTTGGTGCTCATGGGTATGGACAAAGAAGGCAGAAGGAGACATCTCACAGCATGTGAAAGGACATAACGTATAAGTGGTCTATATGCACTTTGTTCAACTAGAGAAGGCTTTTGAGCACTTCCCTAAGAAAATCCTTTGCGAGGAAATGCAGGGGAAAAAGGCACTTGAAAAGCAAACTGACCTAGTAAAACTTAATATGGACCTCAATCCTGCTCACAAGCCAGGGTGGCCAGAATTTGGTACGGGATTCCAAGGGAGGTGGTGCTCTCCCCTGCCCTCGGGGTCTTCAAGACAAGGCTGGATTGGCATCTGGCTGGGGTCATCTCAGCCCAGCACTCTTTCCTACCCATGGCCAGGGGTTGGACTCAATGATTTGTTGAGGTCCCTTCCAATGCTAGCATCTATGAATCATGTAGTCAAGAAATTGCTCCATATGGAAGCACCAGGAGTTACAAGACTGGGGAGGACAAAAGTGAAGACGTATTGATGAAATGAAGGAGGATCTATCAGTATGAAATGTGAGATGGGTCTGATCACTAACCAAGTAGTGGGGAGAAATATTTAAACCACCAGCCAAAAGTGTTTGTGGGTAAGAGTGTTGAAACACAAGTAGTAAACTATGAAACTCCAGAGATCACACAGAAATACAGGAAGTTGGAAGGGACCTCGGGAAGTCGCATCTAGTCCAAACTCCTGCTG